AATGCTCACAGCCTTCTTCCAAGTTGCCTGCAATAGTTAAGAGTGATATTAGACAAAGCTTTATACAATCATGGCAATCGTACAGATGAATATAATCAGTATCAAATATAATCAGCACTGATCAGTAAACTCAAAAGTTTTCTGATCCACACAACACAATCACGCTATCTCGATATACAGATCCCTGTCCGTAAACGAAGCAATTCCTAACTATTATGCATTTAATGCAGATGAGGAGATAACAGCAATAACAGTAATTCGAAATTACGCACCTTCAGCAATCATTTCCTCACCGAGCTGTACTTCTTGAAGGAAGAATGCCTGCACCTCAGTTGGATTACTCATATTCGGCAGTTGCCTTCCACCACCTGCTGCACCAGAGCTTCGTGCATTTGCTGCCGCACGACGATCTGAAATACTTCAGAAACTAAACAAATCACTTGAAACTTCAAATCGTGTCAAATTCTGAATCAAACAGAAACTTGAACCACCCGGTTTGTCGAGTTCATATAACCTTCAACAGTTCAGCATAATTAAACGAAGATGTTGCTTACCAATTGCATGGCATTGTTTAGCACAGCATAAGCAGTCATGTATAACACTCACGCAAAATAATCAATTGTTAAAACTCAATTGAATCATTGCCCAAAACTTGTTTCCTTACAATAAATATGAATTGAAAACGGTAAAACACATTGAATTTTTAATTACTTTCACGGATTTTTTGCTTATAATCTGGTGCAGATCGACGTTTGTGATCGAAGTATAAACAATATCCAACGAAAGCGGCAGCAGCCACACTCGCAGCCGTGATGACCTGTTGACGACTGAATAAACCCAAAATTAGAGACGACTGCTGCTCGGACATGGTATATACCTAAAAATACAATCACAATTTGACAATATCTTCCTGACAACATTTAATGAAATGCATGGTCCATTTATGTGGCATCACTTTTTGGAGAGCATACAAATGCAGAAGTTTCCGAATAATACACTAGGACAGCCATCGGTACTCCAGCCATCGACGCCGAGCAAAATTAGCCCGTCTTCTAATATTTGGCCCACCAAATGAGACTGGGAATTTGGCAGAGAACAGAAAATCTAATCAAGTAAAATTCCGGTCTCCTCATCATTACAGAATAATCAATGTGGATGACATATTCATCAATGTTGTAGTTCAGGTTGGTAAAATCAAAACAGCATTTCGTTCGTTCACATTTGCAGTTAAGTGTGTGGTTTAGTTAGGCTTAGGCTTGGGCTTAAGCTCAGGCTTAGGCTTATGCTTAGGCTTGGGCTTGGGCTTATCAACTGTGAATGTGAACGAACGAAATGCTGTTTTGATTTTACTAACCTCAACTACAACATTACCTAGCTCGTAAACATAAACAAAAATAACGACTTTAAAGAATACACCACATGAATTTCAAATGATTCGATCTGACAAATGCTGTAGATGAGTGCCATATACTGACACCTGAAGAAAATCCAAGGAAACCTGTTCTTTTTTTGAATTGAACAACGAGTAAAAAAAATGTTCATGTTCAAAACTTAACAAATCCAATAAGTCGATTGTGATCAGAGATGATACGTAGACCTTCTGCCACCAAAGAGGCTAGCCTCTCTGTGTTCTCGCTCGTTCATCAAAGAGAGAAATAGGCGTGATTACATTCTTGAAGATGATCAGTATTTCTTGAGATGTATTTTATGAATTAGCTGAACATGTCAATGCATTTTGATTGGTGTTTGGGTACGTGCATGAAAAACAGCGTTAGAGTCACTTTCGGGTTGATATATCTAATTGTAAATATTTTGAATAGAAATGGACACACATGCAATTGGTTGACGTTTGTCGACGGTAGATTTGAGAGCAAGATACGGTACGATGGACACATCGTTTACATTTGGAGAGAACCACAAGCTTACAATTAGCCCGTATCCGCTCTTAGCTCGTAACTTTTCTAAAATAGGGAATCTTTATCAGGACAAACATGAGGATATAGATTGTGCAAATCATCGTGCTTCCAACGACCCTACTGTAATATTTAGACTGATCAACAGAAATGCAACGATCAGCATACTGCTATTTGGAACTGATCTGGACGATACACTTGGATATCAGGAATTGAGGAATTCAGCATTGCCCAGTAACATGACGGTTTCTGGCTGTCATCGGATAGCATAGAATTTGTAAACATTGTACTTCTAGAATTCTCAAAACACTATTTCGAAGAAACGTGCAAATCAAAACATAAAAGAAGCGCGTATAGGAAGTGCAACATATTTGTTTACATATTCAGATAAAGTACATGCTAATAGCCAAAACAAAGGCTCTGTATGAAAGCTGAGAAACTGTATCAAAGAGTGTTATGATCTTTTAGGAATGCGAGAATGGAACGCGAAACAACGCGTATAAAAGAAAGCAATCGTGGTAGCAAAGTCGGAGTCGAATAGTCAGTAACAACCCCATCGTCGATGCCAGTCGTGTGTTGTACGCCAGGAATGGTGATCAATTATTGTTTATGCCGTATTAACTATTGAATATTAATTTATATTCCGAGTATATTCCGTTGTTTGTGTAGTAAGGTTATTTACCAAGACTGGACTGTGAGTAATAATATTCAAATATATCCAGCTGTGTATTAATCGCCAGGATGTTGCCTGTAATATATCGTTACTATGGTATTGTTTCGTATCCACCGCCAATAACCTATTGTATTATTAGTGAGCAGCATACATAAAAATAAAACTTATTCACTAATTTAAACTGTCAGAACATTACGTATGTTGTCGACGAAAACGCCTATTTCTTCGTATATGGCTAATTTTCTTAAGGTATTTCATCTGCAATATGACCACCAATACACCACCACAGGTACAACTCCCCTACCACGTTCAGGAATTCCCCGTTCTTCAGTGTCAGTTTTGCCTAATAACATACCGCTTTCTTGGGTGAAATAGAATCTCAACTGTCGAGAATTGAGCGAAACAGTAATATATGGAAATGAGCAGCACGTTGAAAGTTCCATTAGAAACGAACAAGAATGGCTCAATAACAAATATAATGTTCTGAAATTCAATAGTCTGAAGAATCCAGCAACGCGAAGGTGTTAGCGTTCTGGTTGAAACTGACAATGAGGATAAACCGTGAAGGTGCATTCATCTTGAATGTTGCAATCTTAATATTTCTGCTGTAATACATAGACTAATCCATATAATGTTACGAAAGGAGTGTCGGAAAATTTCTCAGTTCTTAAAATTCTAAAATTCCTTAAATTTTCCAGTTCGTAAAATTCTAAAATCTCTTAAATTTCTCAATTCCCGCGTCCTCCGAATTCCAAACCGTTCTGTTCTGATCCATTCTTGTTCCATCAGTCAGGTGAAAGTGTGAACAGCAATTAGGTTTGGAAACGTTTTTGGGTGGAAATAGTGTAAAAAGGAAAATAGTTGGGCTGGAAGGAGGTTCTTCACACACGGAATGGACAGCTTTTGACAGTGGTGGTTGGAGAAATACATTTAATTGTGGCCTCATCCTTGAAGAACATAGGCACCCTAACCTTCAACCTTTGGATGCAAACCTGTTCAATTTTGAATTCAAAGCATTTCATCTGTGCAAACAGCTTTACGTGAGCTTGCACGCCACTGTTGCCTCCAGTACGGTTCGTCCCAATAGTCCGGTCTCAAACCGACGTACACTCCCCATAGTGATGAGTCTGGAATGAACTGCGTTGTTCAATTCGACTCAATTCTTCCGAGCATAAACTTTTATTGAAGTTTCGCATGACTCGTGAACTGGAAATGACTTCTGATATGGACTCAAATTTTGTTCTTAACGGCGATGCTTGTTTCATTCAGTTTTAGTGTTTGATTTAAAAATCGAAAAACATTCGGTGTTATTATGGGTCTACTAATGGGTCCATTTCCATTATAAGGCTACGCTTTTGTTCATTTTTGTTAGATGCTCTCTCAAGTAGTTGGTCAAGTAGACCACTGAGTGAATGACCGGTAGCAAAAGGGATTCTCACAATTCTAGATAGTATGTGGTTGTGGAAGACGGAATTTCGTTACTATAACTTTAGATTTTTTACTGTAACTTTGAATATTCCCAAAATTTGTCCTTAATACGAGAATGCAGCTTGGGATAGATGGAGTGCAGTGTTGCTCTTCGTGGACAGAACAACACAGTTCAATCGAAAGCTCTCCGAACAAGATTGCTCAACA